GACGATCTCTAAGTCCATCCATGTTGCTGCAAATAGCATGATTTTATTCTTTTTTATGGCAGAGTAATATTCCATTGTATACATATACCACACTTCTTTATCCATTCATCTATCGATGGACGTTTAGGTTGTTTCTATGTCTTGAGTATTGTAAATAGTGCTGCTGTGAACATTGGGGTGCACATATCTTTTCAAATTAAAATCTCTGGATATATGCCCAGGAGTGGGATTCCTGGATCATATGGTAAGTCTATTTTTAGTTTTTTGAGCATCTCCAGGGAAAGTGTTTTAAGGGGAGGCTTCACTTAAACTGAGCTTGAAATACCAAAAGATCCCTCTGAAGCACTAAGGTGACGTCTGGGACATTACAGATGGGTCTCTGTGTCCTCTTTGCTCACGTAGGCTCTTTCAGTCCAAGACATCCTTCCCATCCTTGCTGGTCCCAATCCTGTTCATCTCTGAAAGCCCAGCACAAATGCCTTTCCTTCAGTTCAGCCTCCCGGAATTATCCAGCAGCTCGACTCCCTAAATCCCCCACCTCCCTGCTCCTCTCCTGTGCTGTGCACCCCCACCGCTCTCCTCATGATAGAGTTGCTGTTGAGGTTTTTTTTCAGGTGAGGATCTTGTGTTCTATTTTCCAGATGCCTCCTAGGTAGAGGGGCTCCATCAGTGTCTGCAGAGCGAAGAGGTCGATGCACAGGATTTGTAACCTGGCAGCTTCTTTCCCTTCTGCATCTTCCCTGTGTCTTTCCCACTTTCTAACCAAGTCCTTTCAAAGACACTGAGGAGTCAGATACAGAGAAGGGACTAGTGGTTACCGGTGGGGAGAGGGAAGGTGGGGCAAGAGGCAGGTGGAGGATTAAGAGGGACAAACTATCAGGTATAAAATATGCTACTAGCATGTGCTGCACAACATGGGGGATATAGGCAGTATTTTGTAATAACTATAAATGGAGTATAACCTTTAAAAATTTGTGAATCGCTATATTGTATACCTGTAGCATAATATTGCACATCAACTATACTTCAATTTTTAAAAAATACGATATTGTAAAATAAATGAATAATAAATAAATTTTAAAAAATAAAGGAGTTCAAAAAAAAAAAAAGACTTTCAGGAAGCAGACATCAAAAGAGCCTTCCACAAGAAAAGACGTTCTTTGGCATGTTCTTGTTTTATTGAAAAAAGTCATGAAGTCAGCCAGAAAGAGAGAGGAAAATACCATATAATATCACTTATTTGTGGAATCTAAAAAAAAAAAAAGAAATAGACACAAATAAACTTATTTATAAAACAGAAACAGACTCACAGACATAGAAAACAAGCTTGTGGTTACTGGGGGGAAAGGGGGTGGGAAGGGATAAATTGGGAATTTGAGATTTGCAGATACTAACTGATATGTATAAAATAGATAAACAACAAGTTTATACTGTAGAGGACAGGGAACTACAGTCAATGTCTTGTAGTAACTTACAGTGAAAAAGAAATGAAAATGAGTCTATGTATGTGTGTGACTGAAACATGATGCTGGACACCAGAAATTGACACAACAATAAAAACTGACTATACTTCAAAAAATAAAAAAAGAGTAGAATTGAAAATTTAAAAGAATTAAAAATCAGCTAAAAAAAGAAAAAAGCCATGCAACTTTCGCATTCCATTTAATATTTTACAGTAGAAATTCTTAATGATGCCAAGTTAACTACCTTAAAAGTGAAGAGAAATGGGGTGATATTACTTGTTAATTCTGTGGTTTCACGTGCCTGGGGAGTCAAGAACCTGGGTTTGTGAAGCAGGACTTAGGGTGCTCATGGTATCATCTTTTAATATCAGTGAAGCACCTGTTTAAAATTAAAGTCCCAGGCAGGGACTCACCTTTGAAATTCTAATTCAGGGTGTCTGAACAGGTCCCCTTAGTTAGCACTTATAATACACAATTTAGGTGATTCTGAAGCAGGTATTTTTTTTACATATGTCCCTCTGCAAAGGGAAATTTCTAGTCAATAAGCACTCAAATGACCAGACGTAGATTGAATAATATATGTAGACTGAATGATACTTTCCTATGTGTTAGCGCTCTTTGAGCAATAGACCGCTAAGATGTAATTTTGCACTGAGCTTTAAGTAATTTTTTTTAAAATGGAGGTACTGGGATTTGAACCCAGGACCTTATGGATGCTAAGCATGCACTCTGCCGCTGAGCTATACCCCCCACCCTGCAATTTTGTACTGACTCTCGTCTTCTTGGAAACACATGGGTCGTAAAACTTTGATAAAATCAAACATATCCTCTGAGCTCATGTAGATGGCAAATGTTGTGGCTCAAATTTCTCTACAAATTCTAAATAAGTGTCCATTTAAGTTCTTTTTATGGTGAAAACAAAATGACTCTGAGAAATTAGACATTTGCCCAGTGGAACACTGTGGGGCAGGGGAGAGTATGAGTAAGCCAGAAAACCAGTTCCCCTCCTCCGGGAGCTCCCTGGGGACCTTCTCATCAGGGGATGGTCACACACACCATTTCAGTGACCCACTGCCCTGGAAGCTACCCCTCTGTGGCCAGTCAAGCTCCTTTATCCCTGCACTTTATTCAGCCTTGGTTTTGACACAGCAAATCCCATAGGATCTGATGGGGACTGTGTCAGGCTTTCTACTTAAAATCACCCTGAGACCACTGGCTCGTTGCAGCAGCTGGGAAACTGTCATCTCCCCGGACGGGTTTGAAGCCACAAGTGAACTCAAGTTGCGCCTTCTGCTTATTACAAATCTCCTAAACCACTCGGCAGGCACAGCCACTGCCAGAAATCAGAGCGAGGCTTTTGTTCCATTTATAGAACAATATGGGCTTCCTCTGCCGCCAGAGTCACACCTGCGGAGTCACTTAATGAAAATGGCTTCCACCCAAAGACTCGATTGTGCTTCAAAATGCATTGTGATTCCACGTGTTTTCTCCATTAGGTTCGAAAAGTGAGTAGCGGGAGACATAATTAGCCTTATAAGATGATTAAAAAAATGAAGGCGGAGAGAGATCAAGAGATTTGCAAAGGTCGCGTAGTAAGTTCCAAGGAAATGATTAGTATATAAATATTCTACCTCCGCGTTCCCTATTCTTCACGTTGTTTATGATCGTTCCCCTGCCTGTTTTCAAGAGATATCTGAATCTTTCAATCAAAGCACAGAGAGAATCAGGTGGATACACACAAAGATTTAAAAAGAACTCTAATCCTGCAGAGCGAGGAGGAACGTGCAAGGAACATGCAATATTATGGTTGCCACTGAGCGGTACAGTTGGCTCCAAGCTTCCTGGTTACTGACATGAAGAGGAATCAAGAAGAAATATTAAAAGAAAAAAAAGTTTGCCAAAGTACCTAAAAGAAAAACCAAAAAACCAAAAAACCCAAAAGGTGAAAACATAGATTTCTGATTGTCTGATAAAATCAACTATACTTTTTTTTTTTTCTCAGAAAACAGAGTATGAATAGCTGGTCTAAATTCTAAGGAGAATTTACAGTGAGGATTCTCATACTTGGGACACTAAGTAAAATAAAAGACAAATATTCAAGATTAATAATGCAGAAAAAACAAAAATGACCTTCACATGACCGTTTCTTCTTTCCACCCTTAAAGAAACACAGGGCATACCATTAAATTGTAATTCAGTGAAGAGCCTTCTGCAAGGTTAGATTATAGTTCCAACACTTCATATCCGCATTTTCCAGACAGATCTTCCCAACTAGAGGGCATTCCTAGTGCCTCGAGTCTGGGCTGTCACATGACTTCCTTTTGCCAAAGGGATTTAGCACATAGAACCCAAGCAAATTCTTGAAATAGTCATCTGTAGTTGAACTTGCTCTGTTGTGCCTCTGTTATCAGTGTGAGAACACACACTAGCCATCCTGCAGGTCCCAGGAGGGTGAGAGACTTGTAGGTGAGACCCACACCTGTAGACGTCCAGCAAGAGAAGCTGCCACCACTGTGTGCAGCCAGGTCAACTGTCCACCCCCACTGCCGACCCACAGCGCCTTGACGATAAGTGGTATTTTTCAGCCACTGACTTTTAGGGTGGTTTGTTAGATAGCAGTTTAAAGTGGAGGTTTATTGAGAAATAATTTCCAGGCAATACCGGTCAGCCTTTCTAGATAGACTAGTCTATGACTTCTGAAAAATGCACACAGGCATGAAACCACAGTCAAGACAAAAAGCATGTTCATCGCCCCCAAAAGTTTCTTCCTTCCTCCTTGGCAGTTGGCCCCTCCAACACTCCCTGGCCCTGTGAACCGCTGGTCTGCTCTGTCTGTCCAGCTCTGCCTTCTCCAGGTCGTCATACAGATGGAATCCCGCGGTACCTAGTGTTTTGTGTCTGTCTCTGCTTAGCATACAGCATTTGAGACCCATCCATATTGCTGCCTGGATCAGCAGTTTGCCCTGAGTCCTCACCACTGAGTGGTGTTCCGGGGAGCGGCCACACTGCACTTTGTTTCTCCGTTCCCTGGCTGGTGGACACTGAGTTATTTCCAGTTTGGGTGATTCTAAATAAAAGTGCTACCGTCATTCATATACAAGTTTTGATATGGAAATATGTTTTCACTTGGAGTAAATGCCTAAGAGTGAGATCCCTCAGTTATATATATATTATGTATATATTATATATATATATATATGTATTTTTTTAAGAAAGTATATATTTTAAGAAACTGCCAAACTCTTCCCCAAAGTGGCTATACCATTTTGCATTACCTCCAGGATTATAAGACAGTTCCAGGTGCTCCACATCCTCACCAGGACTTGATCTTGTCAGATTCTATGATTTTAGCCACTTAAATAGATGTGCAATGGTATCTTAATTGTGATTTGAGCAACAGTTTTGTGGCAATGCTTAAGTGATATGAATGAATTAAGCCATTATGATCCAGGTGCAAAGTTTCCTGGTGCTCTGAACTTCAGTTATTACAGCTATTTAAATGAAAATGACAGAAGTTACCTCTGCCCTAATTCTTTTTTTTTTTTTTTACTTTTTTTTTTTTGGGGGTCAGGAGAGGTAACTAGGTTTTTTCTACTCTAAATAGAAAAGAAACAGGAAGCCATGGAAATGAGAAAATGACAACTGGAAATGCGATAACTACAGTGAATTGCAAGGGAATAAACATGAAGATGTAAAAAATAAAGAAAGAAAAATAAAGACTGTTTATTTTAATGGAGGGACTGGGGATTGAACCCAGGACCTCATGTGTGCTAAGCACGTGCTCTACCACCCTCCCCCCTATTTCTAATTCAGTCTTTCAGAAATATTTGAAAAATACATTAGGACTTGCAGAATGTCCTAATATATTTGTGGTACCCCCCAGAGGCTCCCGTATCACAGGGACAGTGTGTCAGTCCTCTGACACTAACTGGTGTAGGTCATTTGTCTTTCTCTTTTCCTTCTTTTGTTTTTATAACTGAGTCCCATCTATTTCATTGACTGTATTTTTTTTTTAAACCAGCTATAGCTGTTTCATTACTTGTGCTTTCTCCACAGGAGCAAAACCCCAGCTAGAGCCAAACCTCCGGGACCTGAGGTGGGGAGGAGAGAAGTCTCCCCTCTGCCAGTTTTAAATTTCTCCTTCATGGATCCGGGGAAGTGAAGTTGCAGGAATGTGTTCTTTCCAGCTTAAGCTGTTGTAAAGGGAAGGTAAGCAGTGCTTCACTCAGTAGCCTCTGCTTCATGTACTGTTTCAAAGGAAAACGCTAATTACCAACCACGCGATAGTACTTAGCATACTCTATTTTAATTATTGTCGATTCTAAAGCAAACCAACCTGGGGAAAATGAGATGGGGTTTATGTGCCGCCAGTGGGTTTCTGGCTTCGTCGTTGTGAAAGTCCAGTCACCAGTCCCCGGGATCCCGGCTGCGCAGTGACCCGCTCCTCCTGCCGAAAGCCTGTCCCGGGTCCGGGGGCACGGCTTTCCCTCTCAGGTGACACACTCCAGCCAGCCTTGCTCCTTTGCAACATGCTGTTAGTCTGACTTTAAGCCAACATTCTTTCTACCAATCCTGTTTATTCTCAAATATCCTGAAGCGTCTCCCTTGGTACTGGTTAATGGGATGTTTCTGGTAGAGACGTTTGTCCCAAGAAACAAAAGAGTTACGAAAAAATAAAGACTGTTTAACTATCTTAATCCTCTCATATGAATAGGATGGAAACTAATAGTTTTCCTGAGGGAAGGACTAGAAATGATGAGGGGACACTTTGCTAAGTCAGGTTTGCTGAGATACGAGGAGTAAGTGTCATCGTTGGAGCCACCGGCCACGGCGAGGAAGTGGCTTCTCTGCGTTCAGTAGGAAAGTCTGAAATCTTGCCATCTGAATAAAGCCTGGGGGGTAATTCTCAGCTCTGGGAATTCTGCGATTTGCATCGTTGGGCTTAGAAATAACCCTAGGATTTCTTCTCTTCAGGTGACTTTTTAAAATGACTTTTCATCGTCCCTGTATTTCCTGGTTTCTCTCTCTCTCTCAGAATTGTATTTTCCAGTACACATTGGTCTTTATCCACTAAATTGTGTTTGCTGTTGCTGGGAGTGACAGAAGCCCTATGTGAATTGATAGATCCCTTCCCCCGTCCCAGAAACAGATGGAAACGCCTTGATTCCTACAAGGAAACTGCAGGAAGGGCATGGCTACAGCAGCTCAAAGACCAGAGCAGCTGGGAGTCTCCATCCCTGGTCCCCGCCCAGCTCTGTGCTGGCTTCATCTCTCCTACAACTCATCAGCCTTTTCCAGAGTAGGTCACGGGGTCTCTGGTAGCATCTCTAGATTTATGACGCACAGCCTTGCCCTGAAAGAGGAGCTGACCAGCTTTCCTTTGTTCCCACTGAAAACATCCTAAGGAGGGGCTTGGATTGGATGATGTAGTCATTCCTGTGACCTGTGGGGGGAAGAAATTTCCTATAATTGGCAACCCCACTGAACCACATGGGAAGACAAGTCAATTCATGTCCCCTGCTGGCTTGATTTTCTTTAGATAGAAAACAGTTATAGCTTATGACTGTTACAACACTTACCATATGGTAGGCACTGTTACAGATACTTCACAAATATTAATTCACTTAATGCTCATATCAATCCTATACCATCCTCTTATTGTTTCCATTTTAGAGATGAGAAAACTGAGGCACAGAGCAGCCAAGGAATTGCCCAGGGAGGAAGTGGATAGAATAGAAGGATGTTTGTTATTGAATCAAAACTCGTTCTGTTCACTGCATGACAGGCCAGGAAATCAGGAGGCAAGGAATAATGACTTTATTTGGAAAGCCAGCAGACCGAGAAGACAGGGGACTAACGTCCTGGAGAACCATCTTCTCCAAGTCAGAATTCAGGCTCCTTTTATACTAAAAAGGGGGAGGAGATGTGGTTAGTGGTTTCAGACTTCTTGGTGTCGGAATCCTTTGGTCTTGCAGCTGTCCTCGTAGGGTCAGGTCATGGTGTCCCCGTAAACCTCCCACAGGACAAGCGTTGTGCAACTTCTCCTCCCTATGTGAATGGGAAAGTGTTACACCTTTAAAGGCCAGAGCCTTGAGAATGGGCTCTTCCCTGTTTCAGGCACTAAGGTGCAGAACCAGCGTGACTCAGCACAGGAAACAGCGCAGAGGCGGAGCCAAAGGAACAGGTCTAACATGGAGTGAGATGTGTTCTTTCCTGTTGCACGTTCACACCGCACGGTCTCCTCCGAACTCACAAATCTGAGGCCGTCGCACTCAGCACTACTTCCTCCGTCCTTTCCCCATCTCCCCTCTCCTTCCTTCACGGGTCTTTGCCCTTTCCCTGTGTGCTTTCCATGTAGACTCTACCACGGCAGTCTTTGGCCTATTGCCTTGCCCCCCTCCCCAGCTGACAGAGGAATAATCTCTATCTGGCTAAGATGCCAAGCACCAAAATATCCTGGCATCTCTTAAAGAAGCAATTTGTTTTCTTTTTGCAAATGTGTCACGTGTGCCGTTAAACGGCACCGACGTGTGCCCCCACTGACCGCGTTTCTCAGAGATGGCCTGTCAGAGGCTGGAGAATCTTCTGAGGAATGGGTTTCTTCTCTATGGAAATGTGCCAATTACCATTTCTTGTGGGAAACACAGCAAGCATCAGCCCAGAGAGCCGTGGCCATCAGAAAGAGCAGCCCGGCTGAAGGGACATCCATCTCCATTCGCAGTGGGGACACCACCAACTTCTCTAACTGGCTCATCTTGAGCGATGGAAGACTCTAACTAAATAAACGAAAAAGGATGGCAGGAAATAATCCCCCGTGACTTATGCCTCCTTCTCCATCCATAAATAACTTTATATTTCACTGCTGGCAGCGCAGCTGAGCCGGAAGGTAATGAACCATTGTGGAAAACCCATCTGTTGCTCATAAGGGAAGGGCCGGATTTATTGAGGAAGAATCTGGAGCCTAAGTCCTGTTACTTAATGGGAGCTGCACATCTAATTGGTCATGCTGTAAATACGCCCCATTATGTTCCCTCGCTGGCCAGATGGACGTGCTCAGCAGCAATGCTGAGAAGAAAAATGTACCTCAAGAATCTGAGAGCAGGAGTGGACACCAAGCCAGTGGGGGACCGACGGGGCTAATGAGGATGGATGCACCTGACTTAAAGATGTTTCCAGAAGAATCCAAAAGGCCCAATGCAGATACGTCTAAATATGGTCGCACAGTCCAGTCCCTGGCAGTGGGTAGTGTGGAATCATTTCAACCAGCTCCCGCCAGCCCCATAATTTTCTACCTCTCGTTCCTTTGTCCCTCGGCCCCTTGGTACTTAATCATGGCTTTGCGACTCCTTGGAGATGGCTCCGGGTAATGGCAGTTGAGAGCGGTTCCTCCCAGATTCCTCTTTACCACTGTGGTGGGAGGGCAGATAGGAACCAAAGGCAGGTTATGTTTCACACACTGAATCCCCCTGAGTCATGTCTGAACTAGATGTGGGGCTCAGGTTCCTGAGAGAGATGGGGAATTAGGGCTTATCACAATTTCTGGTATACTGCAGGTGCCTAGTGAATGTTGAATAAAGGAGAATAAGGTACACTAATAATGACTAGTAATGTCTTAGCACGTGGTGGCCGAAAGGGGTCTGAGAGATTTTATGAACCAGGTTCCAGGAAGTGCTGTAACTCACAAGCCCTAATTCCCAGTCACGTGGTACAGGGCTGGTGTGTTCCCGTCGTGGTCCAAGGTGCATGTCGGGGGCAGCAAAATGCTCCACAAGGTCATTCTCCATCCTGTAAGACTGTCGACGTCCTTGGGGGCCTCCAGGTCACCACAAAGTGGAAGAAGAGTGGGGAGGGTCCTGACCAATGCTGGGAATGAGACACACATCTTCCCACCCTTCCACTGGCCCCAGCCCAGCCCCCGGGTCCAAGTGATGGAGCCGAGGGTGGAGAATGCAGGCTTCCCATGTGCCCAGAAGGAAAAGGAGCTGAATTTGGTGAACACGTGGAATCACCATGTTTCTGAGAACCTTCATTCCGCTCCTTCATTTATAGATGGGGAGATGGAAGGCCTGGGACTGGGTGATTTTCAGCAAGTCGCATGGTGATTTGCGGATACAGGAACTCTGGTTTCCTACTGCTGACACCGTTGCCCGGGAGGGGAGGGGAGGGGAGGGGGAAGGGGAGGGGGAGGAGGCAGCGGGTTCTTTAGTAAG